AAAAAAAAAAAAAACTCACTGTGTTAAATATAATCACTATAACCACTGTTATTTGTAAGGAATATTGCATTTAGTATAAGGGTGGAGGAGGGGATAAAGGAGACTCTACCTTCTAAGTCCTCAAACAAGAACTATGTAGCAATGGTGACATTGTTAAATAGTGTCTGAAGATTATACTAGGTTTTTAATGAGTAACCTAACCATGAAAGTAAGAAAATGGCGATTAGTTCTGCTACCAAATCTCTGGTTGCATGTCTTTGGCCAAGTCACTTAACTTCTCTGGTCCTTAAGTTTTTCATCTATTAAATGAGAGATTAACTGTTCTTTAAAATTTTCTCGTGTTCTGATTATAGTGAAAATTCTTAATTTGATTCTCAAATTTTCTGAATCTAGAAAAAAGTTTTTAAAATGACAAGGAGAAAAGTTAATAGTTACAAAAAGTAAATTAATACAATACAAATGAAACGAGAATTGGCAGAATACAAGGCTTCTAGATGTGAATAGAGTTCATTAGAAAGTCTTCTAGAAAAAAATGTAGCATTTTTCTAGATGTGAAGTGGGATACAGAGTAAGTGGGAGGGCAGGAGGACCATGTTGGTAGGATAAAAAGTTTCCATATGTGGCAGTCACTTGAAGGAGACCACAGGCAGTTTCAACTGACTGAAATGGTGACTTCCTGCTGAGGGATAATGGGAAAGGAGGCTTTTGACTGTGTGAAGAGAAGAAAGGTATCAATTAGTAAGGTGCCTTGAGAGTCATGCTAAGGAGCTTATTAGACTTGATGGTTAGTGATGGGAAACCACTGCATGCTTTTGTGCAGGGATCCAAATACTCAGGTTGCTTTTAGTAAGACGAAATGAGAATGAGAGGTTAAAAACTTCGTGGAGAGACTAATTTATTAAGATTGCACCAGAAAATGAGCTGGTTTTGATAGGAAAGCCATGACTTTTAAAAATTAACTATAATATTTAGATTAGTTGGATTTCCAATGAATGTAAAGGGTAAAGATGGCCTTGTGATCTGAGTGCAAGTATATATAGAACTTATCATTTTGCTTCAGAGCCCCAAAGTGTTACTCTCTTGTATTTCTTACACATTGATTATTACAATGCAAAGAGTGAGAAAGATGGATCATTTCATTTTTTCCTAAAAACCAAACTTATTGGGATGCTTGGGTGGCTCAGTTGGTTGAGCGTCTGGCTTTGGCTTGGGTCATGATGTCACAGTCCTTGAGTTCGAGCCCCTCACTGGGCTCTGTGCTGACAGCTCAGAGCCTAGAGCCTGCTTCAGATTCTGTGTCTCCTTCTCTCTCTCTGCCCCTCCCCCACTCGTGCTCATTCTCTCTCTCTCTCTCTCTCTCTCTCTCTCTCTCTCTCTCTCTCTCTCTCTCTCTCTCTCTCTCTCTCTCTCTCTCTCTCTCTCTCTCTCTCTCTCTTTCTCTCTAAATAAACATTACAAAAAAAAACTTTTCAAGAGATACAAGACATTTTATAACCTTTTCCAACTCTTGTATATTCTGTTACTATTGCTATGTGTTATCAGCACATAGATTATTGCTGATGTTAACTATTTGGTACTTAACATGCATATAATTCACATTTATGTGGATTAATTAGGCTTATTAAAAAAATTAACCCTCACAGTTATAGTCCTATAAAACTATGTTTATGACTCTTTTATGGATGTGGTTGAAAAAATGAAGCGTTTAAATGACTGTGTTTTCTCTCTTCTCTGCCTAGTGTTTTCTAGGACTGGTGAACTTGTTACCTTATCCTGCTGTTTATGAGCTGGTAGGCAATCGAGAGCTTCCTAATAAAGCAGAATATTCTCTTCGTGAAGTCCCAACATGTGTTATTGTAAGTCATTTTCTTTTAGTCTTTGCCTTTTATTTTTTTTTATTTTATTTTTTTTATTTATATATGAAATT